AATTTGTCTTAGTCGTCAGTTTGAACTCGGTTGTATACTTTCAAAACTTTGACAGCTATACTTTACAAAGTGCTTGTGAGCGGAAATAGTAGCCCTTAACGAACAAATTATAAAATATCGCATTTTATAGACGCAGTAATTTGACACTTGACTGAATGCTTTATAGCGCTAGATTAGTAGTCCAAATCCAGTTTTACGCCTTTTTAATCACGAATAATTAACCATTACTTTATAAGACAGTTTAATTAGGCACCTTTACGTAGTAACTAGGAATGTTAAATAAGTTATTTTATTGATAATAAATAAATAAATCGTGTCGTAATGATTTAACGATTTATAAGCAAGCTTATCGATTTTCCCATATGAATTTGTACAGAAAAACAAATTCGTCTCATCATGTTTAATTGTTACAAAGGTGATGTAGTTAGGATTATTGTCACATTGCGTTAGATATTCTTAAGTTAGTTATCTAAGTTATAATCAAATTATTGCCATACGAACTAATGAACTTAAGAACGTAATTTAATCACTACGGCTAGACGATTGAAACTTATTACTGACAATATGGTATCAAGGGTTTATTATTTATGGTTTGTTGGTTGTTTTTTTATCAAAAATATGCCAATAAAATTAATATCTATATGATATTTGTTTTTTCGCGAATGCTACATATAGAAAATGAAACTATTGCCAAAAAAATAATATTTTTTGTAACTATAGTTCGAATAGAGTGCTTTGCATTAATATTAGAGAAGTGGTTGCCGACTAATACCATCTCCGAACCCGTGACCAAGGCACCTGTAACTAAACGAGACTGTAGACGATACGTAACAAATATATTTAATAGATTTATTTTTGGAATGGTAATACAGTGAATGAGTGCCATTAAATTTATATTACGGTTTGTGTTTAAAGGAAAATAAACTTAAATAGAGTCTGATATTAGTGTCTGTCATGTTTAGGAAGAAATAATGGCTTAGACATGACTTACATGCAATTGTATCGATCAAATAATCTCTATATATCTTCAATAATGATAGAAGCTGCTACAAGAGATGATTGCAACAACGGGTTTCCTCTCAGACGAGGGTTTAGGGAGAGGGATTGGGGACTTCACATGTCTTCTGAGTGTTGTGAACCTTCTTCAACGTGCAGGTTTCATCACATCGTGCATAAATTCCGAAAACTAAGAGGTGCGAGCCCGGATTCGAACCCAGGACCCTCTGCTTGAGAGGCGGTAGGTCAAACCATTCGGCTACCACGTCTTTCACATTTCACATGTAGAGATGAATTAATGTCAAAATATGATATAAAATGTAAACATTCCTAGAATTAAAATTCGTCCAAAACGCAAGTCTGCACAAACACACGTGGTCACACATAGTAAACGCCCTCACTTGAGGTCAGTCCAAGTTCAGGCACCTGTTCAAACCTGTACACCTCTTACGTCATACGCACGATATATCGAACTATACCTATATATAGATAGAGCCTTATCGGTACACGTTTCCGCGGTTTCCCTTCCACGTAATTGACGGTAATAGTTACAAAACGTTGTTAATTGTTTGTTAGGGTTCTTTTATGGTTTTCATGGGTTTTCTTGTGTGTATTTACGTAATCTAAGTTTAGAGTTTGTTGGTTGTGGTTATTTCTTTGGTAATTAAACTAGTTTTTTGTAAATAAATCGCATATATCTATTTTCCATGGAACCATAGATCTATGGGACCTACAAAGGGTTCGAAACGTTGGGTCGTTTAAAAAACAAAATATACACAATTTAGATCTATCTTGAAAACTAAGAACTCGATGTGTTATTTTTTGTTAAGTTGGTAATATTTAAAAGACTGGGAATTTGTTAGAGGTGATATTATCTCTACTTAAATTGTTTTTTTTTTAACTGAGTAGAAATACTTACGACTGACGAATCTTATAAAGAAGTGGTAACACATGAGTTACCAAGGTGATAATTATTTATACAAAGATCGAAAACAGAGAAAAATTCATTTGATCCGGCTGTATTCGCACCAGAGTCTTCAGAATAGCAGGCCGATGCTCCCAACTGATACGGAACGAACCAGTAATCCAACGAATTTTTCTTTGTGCTTTGTTGCTGATCTTTGTTTTAGGTTTTTTTAACGACTTTTTTGTTGTAGCGCCATCTGTGAGAAATCTATGAAAACTTTTCTTCACTCAGTCAAGGTCACAAAAAATAATATAAATATAACTTATGAAAATCACCTTTCAACAAATAGTAATAGGCGTACATAAAGAACATTCTTCAACGTGTTGGTCATGCAAAAGGTAATGAACATTGAAATCGAAAGTAGGTATGTAGACTAAGGTCACGGAAGACCAACTGCTGTGCAATTTATTTAAAAGCTCGATTGTAGTGTAGTCAGGAATATGAACTTATAATAATATCGACATTGCACATTGTTTAAATAGTTCTACATTCAAGCATAATATTCAATCAAGTACAATTTTTCACGTTACTAAATTGTTATTTACATTATCCGCAATATACGTTAACTGGCAGTTATATTATTATATACGTAATATAATATATTCACTTTATATTCACGTATATAGCTGACGTAATTTTAAGGCTACATCCAGGATATGATCTTTCACATAGGTAAACTCATAGGAGTACTTTTCAAAACGTAAAAAAAACAGCTGGTCCATAGTAAATGTTAGAACCCATTCGACCCCAACATAGTAATAAGTTTTATATACTTACTTACTATAAAGGAATAATAACATATAAACCATTATTCCAAAATTTTTCAATAGCATTTTTACAAAACGCGAAAAATTTAAATTAAATTAAATTAAAATGTAATTAAAAGATTTCAAAGTTAAAATAGATATAATTATATATAATAATAAAATAATTATTTATTGGAAAGTCCATTGGGCGTCGGCCTATTCCGTCCTGTGCCACTCGTCCCTATGCACAGCCAGTCCCTATCAATATAAAAGAACATATATGAAAAAATCTGAAATAAAAATTTTACAAATAAAATATAGTACAATATTAATAAATAATAATAGATAAATAACGCACACACTCAACATAGCCCCGCACTAGGGAAACCCTGTGTCGCGGGTGCCTTGGACACACACATAGACAACCACAAATTACACCCAAACTCACGAGAGAAATAAATGCCTACATTTATAGCCATAGAAATATTTCTCCCGGCCTGGGAATCGAACCTGGGTCCTCTGCGTGGCAGTCCGGCATGGTAACCGTTCGGCCACAGAGGCAGTTTGAATTATATCTGCTTTTATTTTTATCGACAAAATTATTATTTCATTTAAACTTTGTCCATCACTACGTATGTATTCGATTGATAGCAACGTAACGAGATTAAATAAATGAGCAATCTTTCTTAATTGTATCACTCAGGTAACTATTTTAGTTAGTGATTGATGGATGTTAAATTGTTAAACAAATTTTTTCGTTAGTAAATTATTTCTCAATTGTAATAAGGAAATATTATTTACAAACTAGGAAGTAACGAATGGGCAGTTTAACTGGGAATAGAACCTACTCAATCATAATGCGATATATTTATGTAGTTAAAAGGTTAAAGTAGAACTTAATTTTATAATCGATTTTGAAATGAAGCAGCGTGTGTTTGGGTATTACTCAATTGCAGAATCATACTTACAACATCTTTTCACACAGTAAGAAGAACTGTTCTAGGTAGGTAAGTTAGGTAGTAGCAGTAGAGCTCCTTGTGAACGAGTTCGTCCAGGAAAGTACTGCCACCTTACCTATTTCTGCCGCCAAGCGGTAATGTAAGCATTAGTGCGTTCCGGTTTAGAAGGGTAAGGGTGCTGGTGAAATTACAGGCACATGGGACTTGTCAACTTACGAGTATGTCTCAAGGTGACAAGCGCAGTGGCAGTACCCCTAAGATTTTTGTGATTTAAAGCTCTGAGTGGCACTGCGACTGTTATGGATAGGCGCATCGCTTACCACCAGACACACGACTTGTTCGTCTCGGCACTTGGTATTATAACTTACTTCTCTAACGAATTAGGTATTGCCTGTAATGGTAATGTTAAGTTGTTATGTACAAATAAATAAATAAAAATAAAAAAGTTTGATTAAATTGTTAATTAAAATTCAACATAGGTGGCAGTTAGGTACCATGTGTTTTATTTGTTTAAAGTTTTTTGCACAATACCAGTCAACCATTGGGTCAAGCAGAAAAACAAACAATAGGTTGGTGCTACACTTAAAACAAGAATAACAAAATTTTATAATTAATTTGTATATTATAAAATAAATATATTATGACATAAATACATTATAGCAACATTAAGCAGTCGTAATTTGGTGGGATAAACGTTTTTAAGTGGAAATTACTAGCTAGGAGATTTAGAGAGGGTTCCGCATAATATATTGTATGAATGCGTTAGCAATTAGTTCGTGTTTTTTAACTATTGGTTGTAGGTGATCTATAACCCTTGAATGAATGAATGAAATATTTCGGTCCCAGACAATATTGCGAAAATAATTATACCGCACCCGTGTGTTATCTGCCACGTAGAAATATACAAATCGCTGCTTTTCAAATATTTCAAGAATAGGGACACAAACCAAAAGAAGAAGAAGAAGATAATAATAATAATAACACACACACATTCATAGTTTGCACTAGGGAAACCCTGTATCGCGGGTGCCATGAAAATAAATGTAGGTCATACAAATATTTCTCCCGGCACGGGAATCGAACCCGGGACCTCTGCGTGGCACTCCGACATGGTAACCGTTCGGCCACAGAGGCAATTAAAATAAGTTGGGTCGGAGTCCAACCGCACAACTTTGCTGTTGGCTGTTACCAGCAGACGCTACTTAGTTTTTTTTAAACCATCTTCCTGACGCATTAGGTGTTTTTTGAGATAGGTCACTGTTCTAGATAGTCATCGATTGTTTGTAACCGTATTATTAACAAATATTTCTACTCTTGTTCTTATTGTTCTAGGCGTTTATAGCGTGCGCGTGTATAGCTGTGGCCGTGGCGCAGTTTGGATATTATGGAGACTTTTCTGACGGATACTTGGGCACAAGCTTCGGTGCATCCGGTTTCCAGAATACGCTGCGGGCGGCTGCAGTCAGAGATTCTCGGTCTAATACCGGTAAGAACTACATTTTTTGTAAGCTATGTAAACTATAACTTTGCTTTATGGTATCTACCATAAAGGTACTATAGTCGTATGAATCTCTTAAAAAAATATAGTTTTAAAATGCTCGCGACGTTAAATTTCGATTCAGATTGGGGAAGTCCTTAAAAGAGGCCATCTTGACTGATAAGACTGGTGCAAATCGCCGCCTTAGTTAGAGCGAAAACTGTTTTACTTTTTTTTATTGAAGCAAAACTTATAAACCTTTTCCTTAAACATATTATTAGTGACATTTGATAGAGGTATAATTTAACTAGCTAAAATGCTAGCATTAAACATTATTGTGTTTACTGTATTTTACATCCCATTTTTATCTGAAAAATTACATACAAATCACTTATGAAGAATTCACTCTAAAAGTCGGAGTGGAGGAGACGAACGAAGTTTGTCAGGAGTTTACCGAGTGGTGGTTGAGTATCTATCTATTAATTGAATATCTATCTAATTTCCGTGGCAATTTTTACTATTTAAATATTCCAGAATGTTTTAATCCAGAATTACTCAATATTCGAGCGTAGTATCCTGAAATATTATTTAACTCGAATACTTAAATAATAAACATGCAACATATGTGTTGTATTTTACGTTGATACGCACTATTAGTTTTTAGTTATTCCTTTGTACAATAAGTTGTTCAATAAACAATTTATTATTATTATTATTGCTACCGAAATTAGGTAGAGAAAACTAGCCTGAAAATTGCCTTGGCGTCATAGTACGTAATTTGTAAAATGTCCTAAAATATAAATGATACAATACATTCCTCGAATTTCTTTGCTCGTTTAGTCATTAAAAATCGTAAACATTCAAAAAGAAAATGTGAATAAAGACATGTGGAATAACTAATCAATCAAATCGGAATAAGTTTAATATTAAAAGCAGATTAATGATGCCTTATCTATGATTTCGAGCCTTAAAATATGGATCGGATATACCTTGATAGATGTTATCACTCAAAAGGAAATTAATGATTATTCTCTGTTTTGATGATAATTGTGCATTGACTTGAAGGCTGTATAAAGAGCACGATTGCTCGATAAAATCATTTCGGTGAGAATTGCGAAAATGTTTGTTTTTTGAAGCTATTCATCGTCAAGGTTTTTTCTATAATAATATAAAATTTTGATATTATTGAATAACAGTTGAACAATGGTGACGATTTTGATTCGCCGAGTTGTAAAACCTAGAGGAATTAGATAGATCTAAAAAGAATGTTGTCATCCTTTTCCCTCTCTTTTAGTTTAGAAATTACAACAATAGGTTTGTCAAATAAGATTACAATTGGAACAAAGGACTTGGAAGCCTTAAACTTTGTGTTATTGCTTTACTCTAGAACATACCTCAAACATACCTGGGCTATACAATGTCCATTGCATACAAAAGCTAGTAATACGGGGTTCTCCAAGGCGACCTTTTAGAGCCACAGTTGATCAATGTTAACTAGTGGATTTTATGATTTACAGAATAATATGGATCTCCAATATATTTAATACTTATTCTCTTCCAAAATTAGTAGTTGTAGGATGCCTTATATAAATTACTCACTCGATCACCAATATCGAGTACATTTCACAATTATTAGAAAAATTTATGCGAACGTGGTACGTTAGATATTTATCTTGATGCATTAAAATGTGTTGTTTATTACGAAAAGTTGGCATTGCGTATTAAATTGTCCGGTCACCTGTCAAATGTACGCTGATTGTCATTCTTTATGGATATAATGCTATTTTGACTTGCATAATTTAGGGCCTTTACTCACTCGCAGCAGCGGTGCGGCTGTCGCGCGTGATCGCCCATTTTGGGCTAAAGATAGTCATCATACTATTTAGCTCTGTCCACGATAATGGTGTTGAAATTATTACACTGTTGGTAGAATAGTTTCCAAAATGCTACCGAATATGTTATGCTGTGGTACTAAATTATCCAAAATGTCACAGTCAAAAAATTCGCTCTATCTGTGTAATAAGGCTACTTCTGCTAAATGGTCAATTTTCCGGAGAAACGTTTAACGATTCTATGAACGAAATTAGTCATCACTTTTTTATGCTTAAATAGCAAAGATAAAATTTCACACAACGCTACACTTGCGATTTATAGGCGATTGCATCGATGCAAACGCGTTACTGCATCGACACAAACGTGCGTGTGTAAAGGCAGATGATTAGCGACTTCATCGCTACTGCATCGCGGTTGCATCGCTGCTAAAAGTCCCCGTATGTAACCGCAGTCATTCTCAATCGTTGGATAATTCGGCTGTTACTGTTCTGACGCGTCTAGTGTGTTCAATGCATTAAGGGCTTTTATTTTAGTAAACCGATTCAGAGCGATTATACGAAGTGGGAGGAAATACATTCAAAACATGTCATAATACAATTACAACAATACATTAAAAATGTTTGTTCGTATGTTTATTTTATACTTCAAGGTCTCAAGCCCTTTAATTAAAGTGTGGATTTTGATTGACTACCCACGAATATGTTTACAACAGTTAAATTTGATATAGTTTATAATTTTTATTATATAGCGGATCTTGTGTAACATTGCAGTTAAAAACGATCGTAAAGTAATTTTATAGTGTTTACTCAATCATGCAAATATGTACAACAGTGAATTTAGTTCAATGAGAATAACAATAATGTTTAAACGTACGTCATCAATTTCATTTCGTCTGTTGAACGACTATATATTTGGTCGTTAGGGTCATTATTTACCCTTAATTGTGGAAAAAAATGAAATCTCAAAAAGTGGTATCCCAAAAATCGTCTCATGTAATTGTTGAAAATTCATCTTGATATTTAAATTCATAGAATTTTAATTTCGGATAAGTTAACTTTAGACCGTAAAACGGAAACCCTCTATCAACTTTTAATATAAATTTTCCAAGCAGAAGTCACATTCGTCTTTTAAATTCTCTAACGAAGATCCCACATGCAACTTGTTAATTTGGTAAAATACGTAACGCAGAAAAATGTAGTATTTCTTATTTCTTAATAAAAAAGAAACAATAGAGTCGACTATCTACATAAAGTATAAGACGTGCCTGAAGCACAATCGTTACGCAAAGTAAATGTAAATTGATTCGCTCGAGGTTTGTTTAAGCGATGTTTAATCGCAAGAAAGGCCGATCCAGTTCAATTTCCGTAGTATAATATTAGAATATTGTTGAGTAAGCTTTCTGAGTTGGCTGTGCGTCGCAATGCGTTGTTGAATTTTCTTTGATTGCGGTGCAACAATTTAAATATGATTTATATATGTGTGTCTATACATTTCATTTAGGAACTAAACTAAATTTAGATACGTTATTTGGAAACTCTCCTGAATTCTTTTTATGATATTCAAACTGATAGTGAGACAGGCGGTATAGTTACTAGAAAGTGCTCATTTAGTATAATAAAACAAATAGGATAACTCCATACAAACGTAGCAGAGCGGCTTGTTTGTTAGCACGCCCGCCACCCGCCATGTACAGGCGCACGCATTCGCACAATCTCGCGATGCACTCGCGTTGCATAACGCGGGTCGTCTCACGTGCTTTTAATTATAGAATTGAAACGATCGCTCGGTGTTTGAAAAATGACATCAAATAGTAGATATGTTTATAGTTTGAACAAGATTGCCTTAAATTTAAAAATTTTTCAGGATTTCGTTCCTATTTCGTAATCATATCCATAATCAATATACCAATTTGGTTTATAAATGTTAATACCTACTGCATTTAACAAAGGTTATTTCAATATAGCACAAGACTACTGTGATGAACATTTTATTTTCTTTTCAAATTATGTTTACAACCTGTGGGTACAACTAAAATAACAATGTAACAACCCTACTTGCAATTAGTATACTACGGTGCTAACCACTACCTATTCACTCTGTCAGTTTTTGGCTTACTTTGTACATTTAATGGAATATATTACGCGGTGTTACCGAAAATTACTCGGCAGTTATCTTTATTAATACTTCATTTCAAGAATTATTACATTTCGATTAGATTCCGTAAAAGGTGAAGTAAGTAGTAACACGTGTCATAAAACAGATGTAACCTAACATTTTGGTATATTTCATTAAATTACATATTACATAGAGTAATAACAAAGTAAGTGTTCCAACAATTCGTTATGTCCAAGAGCGTGCCATAATTTTAGTGAGTGGAAATAGACTGGCGATGGCGGCGACATTGTGTCGTTGATTGTATACAAAGACCTAACTGTAATGTTTATCAAGGTATTTCAAAAGCGCTTACTACAAAATAGACTATAAAATCTATGAAATCCTTTATCCTTGTTAATTTCTGATTTTCCTTTAAAGCGTAACGGTAATATAGTTTTTGTACAAGGAAAATGTAAAACAAGTAGCAGAATTATAAAATAAAAACAAAATGCAGAAAGAAGAGTGGATTTTTAGCCAAATTGTGGCCGAAAAGGAGAATGTGCTTTTTAGGCTTGTGTAGTTCATGAAGTATGAATGTATTGGGAGTGAATTCCCGACACTGACCGAAACGAACTAGTTTCTCTAGCACGATCCTAATAGGCCACGGAAGTCGCTTGGCGATCTTAATAGTTCACGTCGTTTAGTTCAATAGGAACGGTGCCAATAGGACAATTAAGAACGTTTCATTGCTTTTAGTACAAGTTGAGTGTGATGTACGACTGAACGCCAGCCCGTTTGCTAGGTCGTTTAAGTCTAATACGTAACTCGACGACGCAGTTGTATTTGTCTGTATAATCAAATAGCACCAATTCTATACAAAATTGTATGTATTATTAAACGTTTATTAAAATGTATTATTCATAAAGACCTGATAGTACTATAAGTTCGAAATTGTACATTTGAATAAAAGTTTGGAGTATTCGTTAAATGTACGAGCAAGATAAGACAAACTAAAAGAGCTAGAAGACCGAGCTAATTTCGTTGACCGATTGTACTGGATCGGATCGCTTACTTTTAAGACC